CCCTCCTATCAATTTTGAACATGGATCTTATATGTTAGACATCAAAATTAAATGGATCCTAAGCACTGGTTTGTTTCTTAATCTGCATGACAGAAACAATCTCAAGGAATAATAATTGTCTTAAAATAATTCTTTAAAAAGTGAATGTTTGCAAATTATCTTTTTCAATATCATGATCTGAGTTCGCTTCCCTTTTATCCATTTAACGGACCATATTTTTAAAAATATCTTTTTTGTTTATTTATTTTTATTATCGTTTTTGATGGTTATTATATCGTTAGGACTGACGAGGGTCAATCCAGACCGAAATATATTTACAATAAATTGTGAAACTAACATATACTTTTGTACTCTACAGAGGTTTGGTCTCATCACCATCAACGAATTTTAAAACAGTTGTACAGATTCAGTTGATAATTATGATGTGGTGTATTATTTAACACTTTTTGTTTCATAGCAAATATGTTTAACCCCGTCTTAATATTGGTGAAATGTTTTATTTCTTAAAAAAAAATAAAAAAAAACAATATATTCTAAATGATACCTGGATGACAGAGAAGGATGCATTTATGTTTACACTCCGGTTGCAATCCTTTCCCACACTTCTCCCCACATGAGTGCGGAGTAAGCCAGGGATCAAACTTAGGATCTTGCTCCTTGTTGCAGTAACAGTAGTATCTACTAGGAACCTGACTAGGTTGATAAACTGTTCTACAGTTAGGACAGCTCCAGTTTAACTCTATCCTACAGGTTGGATCCTCCTCCATATGCTGCTTCTGAAGAAATATCGAATCCTTGGACCATTTCTGGGTACAGGAGAGATGAAGGCTTACATAGCAGGTTCCACAGTTCCAGATAGATTCATTCTTTTTAATAGATTCTATACATATTAGACAAGACGAGGAGAACAGAGCAGATTTTAACAACTCCTTGGTGGAGTTTAGAACTGATGGATCGGAGCAAGAGTAGTTGGCTAAAACCTTGTCAACCAGTTCATCTGATCCTTCATCTTCATCCTCATCACTAACATCGGACTGAACCAGGGATTCGTACTTAGACAAATGCCGGTTCAGGTTTTCTTGAATTTGTTTACTGGCCTCGGCAAAACTTCGCCCCGTTTTAGAACTCATTCTTGCTGGTCTAAAATTTGATCAATAATCAACCTATCAATGTATAGGAAGGTATTTATTTAACATCTTAATTTTTAGGAATTAATGTTGAATCTGCCGTATGCTCTGTTGGCAGTTCAGGCGCTGATGCCGCAATTAAGAAAAACACAAGTTTACTAGAAAATCAATATACATACAATCAATCAATCAATAAGACAGATTCGGTGGTCAATGTAGAGACTGTAGAAGTTGCTTTTTCATAGGTTTAGCTGCTCTGCACTCATCCTTGGAGTGTCATCAATCTCATATCTAGAAAACAATAGTTATTTTAGTATACACTAATCCCCCCCACAGGTGCGTACACAGGAATTTGTTAATCCCAGCTCGATTGTTTTTCCCATGGTGTACTAGAATTAAATAATAATTTAAAACTGGGCAAGGCCGGGTACTCCCGCTTGTATTATACGTATACGTGGAAAACCATGGTGTTACCTAGCTCCCCAAATAATTTCATCAGCAGTGTACGAGGTAGATGCATATATTCCAGTCCCAGTCTCAGATCTAAACAAGTATATTGTAGAGGAAGAATTCCCCGAACGATGATTATGAAATCCGCAAATCAGTAGTGTCGTATATCTTTGAACCAGAGAAGACCTACTCAACTTCCTCTCCTTTTATACACTCGTTATTTTTCATGTGTTTTTCTCAAGAAGCAATAAATGTACTTCTAAAGTGGTGACCCCAAACAACAAACAAACCATGGCCGAAAATACTGCCTCCTGGTCGGAAACAGCCCAAAAATTTGACGAGGACAACTCAAGCTTAAACTTCTTTTCCACAAATTCACTATTCCTTTAACCTACAATCAGCTACTCCTGGAGCTAATAAACTAAACCTTAGCTACTCCTGTTGTTGCAACGTCCATTGTCACTGTCACTGTCACTGTCACTGTCACTGTCACTGTCACTGTCACTGTCGTTGTTGTGATTGCACTGACCTTACTCCTGAAACTGAGATAAAGATCTCCAGTTTAGTGGTTTCTAGGTCCGTCGGATGGATCTCATAGAGAGGACTCGTCTCATCTATCTTGTGGGATACACAGATAGGGTAGAGAAGTGGAACCATATCATTCGAACCATCAATCTAGAGAGAATATTCAAGATAATTACCAACACCCGTTAAAGTCTCCCCATATGTAATTAGAAACCTGCCCCATGACCTCAATCTTGGTGGGGCGTTCATGAGAAGAAATAAAGCAGAAATTAAGTTTGTAGGGTCAAAGTTACAACTTTAACTCGATATCAACAGAGGAAACTTTTGATTTCAAAAGGTTTAAATGCTTAATCTGGCCTGCAGTATCTAAGGCAAGACTTATTGGTTTCCAAAGTCTAAATGCTGAATCAGCAGAGGAATATATTAACCTGGAATCCGAAGTCTAGATGCTGAATCTGCAGAGGAATATATTAACCTGGAATCCGAAGTCTAGATGATGAATCTGNGATCAATACTTAACAGTGTTAGTTTCAGATCAATACTGTTAGTTTTAGATCAATTCTTTTAACACTATTATAGTTTTAGATCAATGCTTAACAGTGTTGGTTTCAGATCAATACTTAACGGTGTTAGTTTTAGATCAATATTTAACAATGTTTGATATAGATTAATACTAACAATGTTAGTTTTAGATCAATACTTAACAGTGTTAGTTTTAGATCAATATTTAACCATGTCAGTTTTAGATCAATACTTAACAATGTTAGTTTTTAGATCAATGTAAGTTTCAGATCAATACTAACAATGTTAGTTTCAGATCAATATTGAACAGTGTTAGTTTCAGATCAATATTCAACAACGTGTTAGTTTCAGATCAGTATTTATCAGTGTTAGTTTCAGATCAATATTTAACCATGTTAGTTTCAAAGATCAATATTTATCAGTGTTAGTTTCAGATCAATATTTTTCAATGTTAGTTTCAGATCAATATTTATCAAGTTTCAGATCAATATTTATCAATGTTAGTTTCAGATCAATATTTAACCATGTTAGTTTCAGATCAATATTTATCAATGTTAGTTTCAGATCAATATTTAACCATGTTAGTTTCAGACCAATATTTATCAGTGTAAGTTTCAGATCAATATTTATCAGTATTAGTTTCAGATCAATATTTATCAGTGTAAGTTTCAGATCAATATTTATCAGTGTTAGTTTCAGATAAATATAAATATATATCTACTACAAAATATGTCCTACCTGTGTATCAGCGATCCTGAAGACTAGATAAAGACCCCCATTTCTCATGGTTATCACAGCTTTCCTACTAAAAACTATTGAGCTAACCCCGGAGCCAGGTTTAGAGAACCTGGCCAGGAATAGTCCTGAGAATATAGTGCTGAGCAGAACACCCCAGAGAATATGAACAATAAGATGCATCACGGCATCAGGACAGTTTGCTGTTATCCCTCTAGTTCCGTATCCTATCGTCTGTTGAGTTTCCATAGCGAACTGATAGATGGCTAGGGACGATTCAATGTTGATAAAACATTCAGCTATCGTCGAATTCGGGTCCAACATTCCTTGCAGTTCGACACAGTTATAACTTAAAGCAATTAAATAAAACTTCAACCCCCCAGTTCTTAGAGTTCTAGCATATTTTCAGTTTTAGTTTCAAATTGTATCGTAAGTTTTAAAAAAAAAACCGTATTTTACTGATCTCACAGGGTAGGGGGACTTTTTTAACCACCCCTCCCCCCAGTTACGGCCCTGGCTACTTTCAATAAATGAAAGATAAAAAAGGCCCATGTCTCAATTTTTCTGCAAACTTTTACTGCTTTCTTTGACCGAAGGGAAAATTTTCGAAATATATTTTTGGCAAAGCTCGATTGACCATTCAGTCGAATCTTGAATATTGAAGCATATTTTATTTAAATAATTACTTGATCATCTGATATTGAAAGAGGCTTTTTCCTCTTTAAAGTATTATTAAAACATTTGCCCTTTCTTTCTTTACAATATTATCATAGTTTTTCCCGCCGTTTACCCGCGCTTGGTCGTAAATTACGATTTTCCCCAGGCAAATCGGTCTACGGGTTCCTGAGTTATGATTGGACATCCAAACAAAAAGAGACAGAGATTACAATATTATATATATATAGACTAGAACATTAGAATGAGTTTAAGCTGATCCGAGTTCCTTGTTTATGATAAACATCTGTAATCAAATAAACCAGGGAGAAGAAGAGGTAGGAGAGAACGTGGAGAGAGGAGAACAGGGTGACGAACTTGTACCAGTGCATATCCAAGAAGTTGATGTGGAACACGGAGAAGGGTTTGTCCAGCTCATTTAGAATATTCAGTTTTCCGTTCTTCTCGATAACTCTCTTCAATCTGCCCGACATGTTATCTAGCAATCCTTTAAACATTGATCATTAACATCAAATTTTCAAACAAATTTCATCAATCTCGATATTACAAGGATACACTATATACATAGGATAACCTCATCATCTTCTTTTGTCTATTTTATATTTCTGTTTTTCTAGTCATATTTCTTCAAACTAACGAAAATGCAGAAGATTTTGGATTGTATTACATCCGTCCTACGATACTTTGGACCTACCCGCACGTGGTTTTTCAGCAGCTTCAAGCTGCTGTTGGTCCGATGTACTGTAGGTCGGATACACACTTCATTGAAAAAAAGTTTGTGTATCCGACCTACTGCAAATGTCGGTTGCACGGCTTTCTTTATTTGGTTGCACTCTTCTGTAGGTCGGATGCACAACTTTAGTTATAGGTCGGATGTACAACTTTGGTAGGTCGGATGGACAAAAAAGTTAGTGTTAGACCTACAAAATCTGTGCATCTGAACTACGAAAGTTGCGCATCCGACCTACGTGTGCAACCGGAACATCGATCCATATGGTAGCACTGCCAACTATAACATACTGATTATATCTGCAGTTCATGCGTAGGCCGGATTAACAAAATAGAATGTAAATTCGACCTACAGCTGTCGTAGGTCCGAAGTATCGTAGGACGGAAGTACTGTAGGACGGAAATGCCGTAGAACAGAAGTAACATTACCAGATTTTGTTCAGATTTTAACTGACCGAGTTTTTAAGAAATCGGTTCCGTGTTTCTTTGGTCAACCTGTAAAACCAAAATATGTTCTGGAAACTATATTTCTAAACTCTACAAATCTATATTTAACAAGTTTGACACATAGATGTTTAAAAATTCGTTGTGTGAACAAAACCAACATTTAATTTAACATTATCACAATATTATGTTGAAACTGTGCAAAACAAGGGTTGCCATGTAACAAATAAAAACCAGAAAAAAGTCAGTTTTGACTTCAAGCCATTTTTGACAAAAACTTCAAAGTTCAAAACTTTTAGCTTTTTGCACACTTTTAAGTTAAAAATAATGTTTAACAATCCTAGAATATTGGACGTTCTGGGAATTAAAAAAAAATCCGTGGAAAATTTTCTTCGCAATGAACATACTTTGAAACCAAATAGATAGGTGTGCAGAATAAGAATTTTAGTTAGGATATAATTGTCCTCATTATTAAAACAGCTGCCAGTTTAATTTTACAATACATATATTATTTTTAATTCAGAATTGAAAGTGTTTTTTTTTCAGTTCCGTTTCATAATTTGCTTTAATCAATGATTTCTTTTAAAAATAGGAGATCGGAGTTTAGGTGAAAAGTTGGTAAACACCTAAAACTTAATTTAGACAAACTCCGAAAACAGATTAAATAATATTTTAAATACTTGAAATGTTACTCTGGACTGAACCAGTTTTGGCTGGTACTTGAAAGTACTGGAAAGTACTGGAAATGAAATATAATACATTCTTCATCCTTCTCAACCCTGGGGAGGAGCTGAGGATTGTTGTACATTGTTAGGTGCAAGATCAGATGGTTCAAGATTCTCAATATCAACAGGTTTATCAAACTCAAAACTATCAAATAGAGATGATTTCTTGATCATTATGACAGAAGGAGATACGCTAGAGAGTAGCTTCTCCGGGGTTTTAACGGGGACGTTCTCCACGTTGTTGGAGAGTGCGGAGTGGAAGGAGAACTCTTCGGAGTCATTGAGTACACTTTCCAGGTCGTTAAACAGGTTTGGACTTTGGGATATTGGATGGATTTGTCGTGGTTTGGAACATTCATAATCTTTGTTGGTTTCTTTCATCGGAGATACACTCGGGATAGGATGGTTTAGTTCGGAGTAAGTAACCTGAGTTGAAGACTCAAAGTCCTGGTGTCTTCTCATCTCGAGCTTTCGAGCTCCGGTTGCATTCTGGGGTAAACTTGTATACTTGTAGAATGTGGAATCTGTTTTCTCCATGAGAAGATCTAACCCTGGATAGTGTTTATTCTTCCCGGTGTGATCTGTTTTATCAGTGTCAAGGTTGGTTTTCAGATCTCTGCCCAGGAACTCATCATTCATGTCATAGGACTTACTAGAGATTCCAATTATGTGATGTTTGGGCGGTGTTTCTAGGAATCCAGGTTGCATGTTTGGCAAGCATGGAGTAGTGAAGAGACTAGAGGAGGTAACGTTGAACACAGCATTATCCGACCCGCTCTGGAACGGACTTGTCACTGGGGAAGGCATGGTCACCTTGCTTATTTCATTTAATCCATCGTTCTCCTGGTCAAAGGAAAACCTGCGCTCTTCTCCAGTCCGTCCTTCTGAAGAATGAGTTCGTGGAAGAAGAACACCATCGCAGATATTTTCCGAGTGAAGATCTCTGATGGAGTCCTCGAGATGTAAACCTTTACCTGGAGAAAAAGATGTTGTTGCCACGTTGTTGAGAAGTTTCGAGGATGAATGCATGAGAACCTGATCTACGGAACTCCTTCTCTGGAATGCAATATTCGAGGTTGTGTTCGGGTTCAAGGAGCTCACGTAGTTCACTCTCGGAGATACAGGTGCAGAACCTCCGGCAGTGTCAGGACGTGTGATTATTTTTAGGATCGAGTCATCTTCTTCCCTCAAATGATGATTACTCCTTTCGTTTTTATTTTCTTCTCTTTCTCCTGTCCCCGATTGGTTCTTCACCGAAGGGTTAGGACTACCGCACATAATACTGGAGAAGGATGGAAGTCTAGTTCTACTGCAGTTGGAGAAAGTAGTTCCTGAACCTGAACACACATCGGAGCGAGTTGTCATGGCAATAAGATTTTGTCGAATTTTGTCAAGAGACGATTCGTCGGTTTTCATTTCAGAATCTAGAAATTGTTTGACAGGAACATCATCAATTGAGTTGGACTGCTCGGCAATAATATCTTTAGTGCAGAGGTTTGAAGTGGATGAAAGATTACTTTCGTCCTCGTGGTTTAAGAAATCTGGTGTCTGAGGAGGAATGGAGGAAACAGAACGAGATTCAGAATCAATACGTCGTCTTTTCTGCATTCTAGAAGAATCCTGTGTCTCTTCGTCCATAGCTGCCGTTCCGAGGTTAGCCTCCAGAACTACTTTGTCCACAAGAGGCCGATCATTTGTCTCCGAGGATATCGACATTTGAGAATTTTCCTCCTCGGGATGGAAAATAGAGTTGGTAGAGTCCGGAGAAAACATATCAGATGGATGTGTACTCTTAAACCCCATCGGAAATCCTAGAAGCTTATGATAGTGAACAGGTATCTGGTTGTAAGGAAGAACGTATCTCTCTACTCCGCCATTCTGACTTTGTCCAAGGATTGACGAAATCATGGGCGAGAGAATCACACTGAAACTGTCCTCATTTGTTCTTATATTAGTCAAACATTGCTCCACCATGTTCTTTAGGTCCATTACTAAAGCTTGAACATCAGCAAACATGCTGGATAGTACTTCGGCAGTTCCAAGCCTTTTCAGAGATACACGTTTCACCAGCAGGTCCCATAGGGTAAAGGACTGAAGGAGTTTAGGCCCAACCAGGTCAAGAAGAGATGCAGGATCAGATTCATTGATCCAAGAATCAGCTGAGAACGATTTTTTAACCGGAGATGCTGGAGTCTCTGGGGTAGCAAACTCGTGATCAGGAAAAAGTTTAAGATGCCGCGCAATCTTCTTGTCTCCAAGATATAGTTTACCACAGATCTTACAAATATACTTGGGAGGAGGAGCAAAGGATCTCCGACCCATAGATGCAAGGGCAGAGTCAACAAGGGGCGGGGTAGCAAAGTTCATGTTTGTAACTGCACCCGTATTGGCCGTAGGTTCATCTTGAGCAGGTGGAAAAGAGTCTTCTTTCAACGCCATATCCGTTCGAATTCGTTTAGGAGGAAGAGAGAGTCTACCGGATCTGGTTCTACCAATAGAAAACTTGTCCTGATCCTCATTACTTTCACCATTCCGGAGTTCTTCGTCCTGAACCGTTTCCTCCTCCTCATTATCCACGTCGGTATCAACTTCAATAAAGCCGAACTCTTTAACCCGTTCTTCTCTCAATCCTAACTCCTTCTTCAAATCAGAAATTATCTTCTTTTCATTTACCCGTTTAGGCATTCCTTTCCTAGGTCTACCGCGGTTTTTAGCTTTACCCTTACCGCGTCCTCTAGCACTCATTTCACGAACAAAAGATGCAACACTGAAGGGTTCCTGCGGTTTCTCCAGGTACTTTTTAGGTAGGTATTCAGTTATATGCCGTCTTGGATCCAAATCAGATTTCTTCTTCTAAAATAGAAGACGTTTAGATATTATAAATACAATACTAACACAAATATCTAATTGATACAACAAGAATAATTCTTTGTATTGTAGGTTCCTGAACTGACCTGTGTTCCCGCGACTGTGGGTTGTGTAGAGTTTGCTGTTGTCTGATTCATAAAGTTGGTGAAACTGGTTGGAAAACTTCTCTTCTCTACATCAGATTCCAGAGTTTGGATTGGAACTAATATGTTTACATCATCTTCTAATTATATAAAATTTTTAACTTCTAATAAAAATGAATGGTAATTTCTAACATCAATTTAAGCGGAAACGAACTTTCCCGTTTAAACCTTTATCAAAAGAGTGCCATATACGATTCACGCCGGTTCTTTTAAACCTGCATCTAATAAAAGTGATTTTATATCGAAAAATTAACAACCTGCGGCTTAATGTATTCAATGAATTCATTCCCTTTGCATAAAATATACCTGAAGGAATGTCGTTTTCCCGTTTCATCTGAGATAAAGAGCCCGAAATGTTGTCAAGTAACCCAAGCTTGGAGTCAATCTGAATCCGGTTGGGTGTAATCTTAGACTGTAGGGTTGGCATCATCTCCGAGGTTCCGGAAGGCAGAGGAAATTTTGGGAGAATCAAGGCATGTTGACGAGGTTTCACAGCAACAGTAAACTCTCCCGTCTTCTCCTGGTGAGGTAGAGAGAGCATAGGAAGGATGGGACAAGGTTTGATGGGAGAAGAGAGTTTAACCTGGGTTTGCAGAGAGTAGGAAACTGTTCCGTCTGTTTGCAAAGTTGGTACAAGGATCACGGAGGAGTTGAGTAGTCCGTTCCCTCCCTGGCTTCCGGAGAAACTTGTCAATCCTGTTGTACAAAGAGGTTTCTGTGAAACTGGGATATTATGGTAAATATTAGAACTGGGTAGAGGTTGAGGTCCTTGATATCTGTTAGAACTGATGTTATTGGCTGTATTGATAAACCCGTTGGTGGAAACTAAACTGGGTGCAGTCATAAATGAGGAAGAGGGGTTACAGGTACGAACATCATTATTAAACCCAACGGAGAGAATAGATCCGTTATGTTGCTGCAGGGTGGAGAAACCTAGTGATGTGACGTGAGTTTGTACAGGCTGGTATCCTGATGATAAAGTTGTCCGAGATACATTTGGCAGAGAGGATACACTGGGTGGTTGAGTGGAGAAGGAAGTTTTTACAGGTATCTCTGAGGACTGAACAACCTAATCCAGAAAAGTGCGTTCATTTTATGAGTAAAGCTTCTGTGACTTCATTTTCATTTTCAAAGGCTCACTTACATTTGCCATAATACTTCGGCCATAAATACACTTGCCATATTTTTCAAACTCTAAGAAAGATACAAAACTAACAAGTTTTTTATAAATGCGCCAATTTTCGGTATATTCCTAGAGAACGATTTTTGGACCCCCCCCCCCGGGCCGGCCCTCCTATCAATTTTGAACATGGATCTTATATGTTAGACATTGATATAATTGACCATGTGGCCGAAGCGCTCGGCCCCCTAGCCTGTCCTAGCCGCAGCGCTCGGCCCAGAAAGTGTCTTAAC